GTGGCAAAGGGTTCCTCCAGTACTGGAAGGTGTTATACTGCCAAAATTCCTCATTGTGCTCGGTCACAAACTCTGACTTCCGCACGACCTCCGCGGTGCGCCCCCCGCCCCAGGCCCGTTTCCACTCGCGACGCGGCCGTCCAGTCCACCGAGCGCTCCAGGGCCGGGTCGCCCTCCGCCCGCGGTCCTACCTGGCGCTAGCAAGTGCTTTAGACCTCTGAGCTATCTTGCCAGCCCTTAAGTTGTTTGTTTAGTAGATGAAAAGATAGGTTCAGTGGGTTTTCTGACCAGTTTCATAGTGGTGGAGCTGGGAGTCCTAGCTGGTTCTTCAGCTCAGCATTATTTTATTAGTTCCTCTCCTACTCATGTGCCATAGCTCTCTAACTTTGTTTGAGCTTCCAGAAGTGAAATCTGAGACTCAGATGGGCGAGGTGACTTACTCTGGTACACCCAGGTCATATGGCGCCCCTTTGCCTGGAGCCAATGTCTTCCGACCGGGACTAGCCGGGCCCTGCTCTCTGAAACTCTGACCATCCTTGCCACTAGAGTCTCCTTTGCTGCTTTTCTTGCGTGCAAGGTGATGCTCTTGCTTCTATAGTGAAGTGTAAACTCGGAGTTAGGAATGCATGCAGGACATTAGCTGTGTATATCAAGTGAAATTTTAGGAAGGTTTTCTGTGGAGGGTGAAGTGTGTGTGTGTGTGTGTGTGTGTGTGTGTGTGTGAACAGGGACTGATTTCAGTCCCTGTTTTGAGACAGGGTCTCACTATGTAGTTCAGTTCAGGCTGGCCTTGGCCTCATTGTGCACATGTCTCAGCTGGCCGCCTGCTGACAGTGGTCCTCCTGTCTGAGCCTCCCAAGTACTGTGATTACAGGAATGTACCACTTCACCTGGCTGCGGAGGGTGAAACTGTGTGAAAGCGACAATGTTATTGTGATTTTTTTGCTTTATAAATAATTTTTAATGTGAAAATTCTTTTGTAATATAATTTCTCAGGAATATTGTATTGTACCTCTTAGGTCATTGCTAGAATTGTGGATGGAAGCAGATTCAACGAGTTCAAAGCTTTCTATGGAGATACATTGGTCACAGGTATGAAGGCAAAGAATTGAAAATATAAACATTTTCTCCTGCTTTGGAGATAAGTGATCTTTTGTCCCAGGCTTTGGTACACTTGGCCTGAACTTTGTTATTTAGAGCACTACAAACGGATGAGTCAGTTTTCTAAAGGAGCTGTTGCATAATAACTGTAGCCGAGTGGCTTCGTGCTTTCAGAGAGTTTAGGATGAGATGGCCTGGTGCTGTGAGGGGCCTTTATCTGTAACATTGTATAAAAAGCTTCTTAGGACAGTTGGTGGAAGATACTTGCAGTTCTTTTTGTTTCTTCTGGTAACTAATTACTTTGAAAATGTTAGCTTGTCTCCTTTGTTCTTCCGGTTTCCTGAAGGATGTAGGGTAAGTTGAACCTGCTCACAGTCTCCGGAGGTCTCAAGCTGATCCAAGCGAATGCCAGGCTGAGAGCATGGGGCAGAATGCGTGTCTGGGGAAAAAAAAATAATGTTTATAAAAGTCAGTTCTTTGGTCTAAGGTATTAAGTGTGTAGGCCTTCAAAGAAAAAGGTTTCAAACAGATGCTAGATTCTATAATCCTCCTGGGCAAGAAAGGTAGAACAAATACTGTGAATTTTACTTGGACATACAAAGCTTGAAAATACAGTTGTTATTCCGAAGGTAACGTATTACAACAGGAAAAAAGAAACGTCTCCAAAAATCCATATCACAAATGTACATTGAGGCTACGGCTAAATCTCGGCAACTTCTGCTAGCTGGATTTGTGAGCAAGTGAAAGGTTCACACTGGGAGTAGAATTTATGTTTTTGTATTTAGGTGTTTAAGCGATTAAAAGCTTTTTGGTTGATAGATAGGCAGGATTTGTCACTAGACAGTTCAGGATGTAAGCCTTATTGTGTAGCGATTTAAAACAAGTTGAAGCTTTTCTGCTTTCTCTAAAGATGGATGGGCTGTTCTTGTCATCCACCCTTATGTTTGCCCTGTACTTGCTGAAAAACTTGTGACACCTTTGTGCCCCAGCATACCAGGAACACATCCAGTGTCCTCCAACTCTGCTTGCCTGTCCCAGAATTCAAATAAGTTAGAGGTAGGGGAAGGAGAGAGGAGGAAAGGGTGGAAAGGGTGATGGGGTGGCCTTCACTGTGGCCCTAGGACCCCTAGGGTTTGCACGGACTTCCTGCTGCCCCCTCCCACTGTAGTTTCTTAGAAGAGTATTTTCAGTTTTGGACCTGCCAGTTGGTGAAGGCCTTCCTTCCATGGGTCCCTAGTCTGTGCCTGGGGTCCCCTGGGCTGGGATGTCTGAGAGGTGGCAGGGAGAGTGCCCGCTGGGCAGGCCTTAGGACAGGTTGGGCTGGCCCCCAGCTGTAGGTGGGCAGGACCTTTGGGAAGTTTGGAACTGCTCCTGTGAGCAGATGTACACCACAGGCTTTTGGCTGGGACCTCAGGCCTGAAGGACAAAGAGAAATCTAGGTGGCCATTTAGTCTGTGTTCTTTTTGAGCACCTTAATACATAAACATGGTGATTTAAAAAAGTAATATTTCAAGATGAAGCTGGGGGAAAGAACAAGAGCACATCTATGAAAATTGGGCATCCTGGCTCCTCCTGTTGGCACGCTCTTAGCCATTGTTTTCTTCCTGTGCTGCTGTGGGCACCGGCTTTGTGCTGGCATGCACTGTGCAGCTGGAGCGGAGACACTGGCTCTCAGACAGAGACGCCAGCAGCTGCGTGGGCCCACCTTGCAGGGCCCAAGTCCTCAGGCTTGGGCTCCACGTGCACGGTTCTGACAGAGAAGTAGGCGTGTGGCTAAGCCTCTGGTGGTCCCCCTAGTCAAGCTCTTCTGATTTATAAAATAATTACGTTCTTTGAAATCACCCAAAATACCTGCCTCACAAAGTAACATTGTTTCTCTCTTCTTGTTGCCCTTCTTTCTCTCCTCTCTGCAGAGGGCAGGTGCTTGGGGTGGTAGTGGAGGTGTAGACAGCACGTGAATGACAGTGGTGAAGGGAGGAAAGCAGTGGATTCAGATGCGCAGGAAACAAAAGTGGGGTGATCCATTCTTCTAGGTTTAGTGGGGTCTCTTGCTTTATCCCTTGTCACCTCCATGCTTGACTGTTCTTGCTTTTTTTTAAAAAAAATTATTTTTGCTGAGTTAATCTTTTTTTTTTTTTTAACTTTAAAGATCTGTTGTTACCCAGGCAGTCTTGGTCAAGCCCTCTAAATCGCTCTGTGCCATCAGTGTTCGGTGTGTGTCACGCTTAGACAGAAGTCAGATGAATGCACGGGTGATGGGCCTACCAGTCATTTAACCAAAACAACCAGGCAGTGGCGGAGAAAGACTGTATCATGACTCTTTTGAGAAACAAAAGAGTAAAACATTTTTAAAATGCTTCACGAATTTGCGAGTCATCCTTGCGCAGGGGCCATGCTAATCTTCTCTGCATCGTTCCTATTTTAGTATATGTGCTGCCAAAGTGAGCACAAGAGTAAAACATGTTTAAAATCACATTCTGGTACTTTAGAACTTAAAACATTGTGACATGAGCCATTTTATACTATGGATAAAATTTATACATTCTAGACTTTGACCTGAATTTGTCAGTATGCTTCGATTGTGAATTAAAAGCCCTCTGAAAATTCTCTTTTGATTTTTCTTTTTGAGGATTTGCTCGAATATTTGGATACCCGGTAGGTGTCATTGGAAATAATGGCGTTCTTTTTTCCGAATCTGCAAAAAAGGCAAGTACTATTAAAATGTTTCAAGATTTTAAGTTTTATTTTAATGTTAATTTTTGAAGGTCAAGTAATGAATTAAAGTTTATTACATGAAAACTTTATAATGTTTAATCAGACTACTTCCCAGCGCAGTGTGTGTGTGTGCATGCTTGTGGTGATTTAGAGTACTGTGAATTATCTGCAGCACTATAAAAAAGCCAAATATACTTGCTTTTGGAGAATTCTTAAGAGGTACCTGAGTTAAAATTGCTCGGGAGGACATGCATGTGTTCTGAGAAGGTGGGGAACCCTTGTCCAGAAAGGGTCTCCTGCAGTGTGCTGCGCGGGTGGGGCTCAGCCTTCCTATTCAGGTGCTGTGGGGTGTGACCTGTGTGCTCCCTTCTACCCCAGCATCCATCTAACTTTATCTTTACTTTCTGGAGATGAGAAGATAGTAGTTCTTTATTACTAGTGTTCTAGCTTTAAAAGAGGGAGTTCCTGTATATCATAGAGCTTAATATTTGACTTATTAAAAACAGATGTTTAGTTCTGTCTTCCCTTTTCTATAAATAAGGCAAAGGGTCCGTTGCTGATTCAGGTAACAGGTGATTAAGCTTTTTCATTTCCTAATTCAGGAAGAATTTGTCTTTGGTGAAATATTTTATCAGTAGAATTTTTTTTTTTTTTTTTTTTTTTTTTTGCGGAACCGGGGATTGAACTCAGACCCTTGCACTTGCCAGGGAAGCACTTATTCTACTGAGCCATCTCCCCAGCCCCAGTAGAAGTTTTTAAGGTGCCAGGATATAGCTCAGCAGCACAGCATCTGCCCAGCAAGCATGAGGACGTTGTGAGTTTGATTGCCAATAGCCCCTCAAAAAGATTTCTATATTTTGCTATTATCAATTCTGTCAGCTCAACTATAAAATGAAAACAAGGAAGTAAAAGTCTAAATCACCCGTAATCGTGTTACAAAGAATCTGTAATAATTTATTATGGTTCTTTAGTTTTTTCTTTAAAAAAAGAAATAGATATTGCCATATGCAGTGGTACCTCAGTTCACAAACTTAATTCTCTCCACGATTCTGGTTGCAAACCATATTGGATGAGAGTGGAATCAGATTTCCCCACAAGGTCAACGCAGAACCCAGTTATTGAATGTGATCGGTCCTCATCCAATTTAGTTGTGGCCAGAATCATGGAGGGAATTAAATGTGTGAAACTTGACACCTGTGTACACAGATGTTTTGCTTATTATTCATCTGGTAGTGTATACTGAGGGTTTCTCAAAATAGTAAATATCTCAGAAATAATTACTTTTTGTTTTTTGAGACAGGGTTTCCCTGTATAGTTGGAACTGGCTTTAAACTCACTATGTAGGACAGGCTGGCCTGGAACTTGTGGAAGTTCTGCCTCTGCCTCCCGAGTGCTAGGATTCCAAGTGTGTGCCACCACACATGGCTCTGAAATAATAACTGTTAATGAATATATAGTATACTTATTGCATCATTTTTCTCTGTTACGTTGAGGCCAGACAAACTACCTGCTTTTATCTATTGGCTTAGTGCAGATAAATTCAGGAGGATTTATGTTTGGCCCAAGTCTGACATTTCATTTGTTGACATAAACACCAAAGCTCTATACAGTTTCCTTATTTTTGTAAACATAGTCACATTGAAGTCGAACATTTACTTTCCATTTTGTAGCTGCCAAGGCATTTCTAGGTAAAGGCACCTATCTGCTAACGGAGTAATCCTAGAGGAAATGCTTTATAAGAATTTCTTGATCATGTGATCTTTAGAAGATGGAAAAAGAATAGTTATGATGTTTTAGGATCAATAAATACTTTTCTAAACTCAAGACTAGAAAGTCTCTAACAGTCACCTAACCTAGAAATCGTATTTACTTGGACATGTACTCTGTTAAGACAGATGTAGTTTACTATATCTTGATACTCAGAGGAATTTCCAGTGGACATCAGAGTGTGGAAGTCATCCTGGGATCCTCGAATGATTTATACTTCTCCTTTTCTCAAGTGAAAAACTAGAGAATCAATTATGGCAAAGTCTGGCAGTTCTCACAGGCAGCACTTTTTTCTTTCCTCCTCACTTGCTGTTTGGGATGTCAGGAACTGCTTTCCTCTCGGACACAACGGCCCTCAGTAGCCACATGTGCTGATGACACAAGCGTTGGGGCAAAATAAGTATAGCGCAGGCTGCAGTCATGCGTCCCGCTCACAATGGAGCGGCGGTGCCCTGCTGTTACTGGTGACAGATGGCCACACTGGCCAGACAGAAGTTACTCCTTCTTATGCTTGACCTGAATTGTGGCTTCTATAAGCTGCACTATAATTGGGTGCCTAATTTCCTTTTTTAAAAAAAATGATTCGTATGTTATTTATTTATAGGGTGCTCACTTCATCCAGCTGTGTTGCCAAAGAAATATTCCTCTGCTGTTCCTTCAGAACATTACTGGTGAGAAATCAGTTTGGTGATGTGTATTACTGAGCTAAAGAAGCTTTTTGACCCTAAGAAATGTAGAGGCCAACACACGTTGTGTCACCTCTGTGGATGGCACGTCCTAGAGGTAACCTTTTCATGTGGATGGGGTGATTTTTGAGTGATTTGGGGTGATTTTCTAGCTCTAGAGCTCTCTTTGCTGAGTTCTGTCATTGTGTGCTGTTTGTGTTTTGCACTGTGTGGGACATAGGCAGTGTGTTAGAGGGGCCGGCAAGCAGGGGATTCTTTCCCCATCTTCTAAGTCACATGTGGTTGCCTGCAGTTCAGAGGACTGAGGGGCCCTCAGTCAGTGGTGGGCTCCATCAGGCCTTCCTGAGGTGGCGGCTCTCAGCTGGGAGCAGGGCTTCAAACAGTACCAGTGTAAGAACATCTTCCTCCTGCGTCTGCTCAGGGTTTAGATACTTGATTAGATGAATTTTAAAAAGTGATTATGGCAGCTCATGTACAAGGATAGATTAAAAGAACTCTGAAATGTAGCTAATCCAGGGACCCATTTTTAAATTGTCACTCATGGCCAGAAAGTTCAACACAGTGCCTAGGAGATGCCTGCTTTTTCATTTCAGTTTTGGCTGTGTTGCAGCCAGACAGCAGAAGCTGAGTTTAGCTTCGCAAGACTGCATTTGGGGCCCCTGTAAGATATCCACTTGCCCCCGGATACATCTTGGCATAGAAGAGGTACCTTAGCTGGGGATGAAAATGCAGGCATCACCAGAATGTGCAGGTGGTATTTTGAGCTGTGGGAATAGACAGGAACATTCCAGGGAGAAGGCTCAAGGGTAGTCTTTGTGATGTTCTGGGCTTTTCCATAGATATAGGAATAAGGAAAGAAAAGTAGCATGATTGTGCAGGGGTTTTTGTTTTGTTTTTTCAGTTCTGGGAATTGAACTTGAGACCTTGCACTTGCCAGGCAGGAACTTAGGCTGCTGAGCTATCTCCCCAGCTCTCTGCAGTTGTTTATTGGTGACAAGGAGTAGTTGAAAGCGAGTTGAGCCAGCTTCCTTCTTTTTTGATGGGAGAACATCTGCAGAGAAAGGGATGGGGTTGGCTTTGGTAAGCACTTGAAGGGAGCTCAGGTGTCTGGGGTGTGATGTTGCAGGGAGTCTGGAAGTGTTAGCTGAGGCGTGTGAGCTGCTGAGAGCCGGCTGAGGAGGACACAGAGAGAGTGCAGGGCCCACACTGTCCTTCCTACACCAGGGCACTGAGCACAGGGCACCATCAGCATTGGCTGAAGGGAACTGGATGGTGAGGTGTGGAGAGCCATGGAGCAAACCAAGGCAGCGAGTTTAAGCATACAGATGAGAGGGGCGCTGTGCTACAGACAGGAGGGAGCCACATGTGGCGAGGCTCCAGTGATGGAGACAAGGGGGCCGTCCAAGTCCTGGTGGCACAGTGCAGCTAAGAGTGAATTCTTGGTGGGTGTGAAGAAGCAGAAGGATTTTGCAGTCACAGTGCTAGCAAAAACATTTTAACCTTGCTGTTGAGTCACTGGCAGGGACCCCGTATGTCTCCATGAAACATTCATCCTCCCTTCATCAAAGTTTTAAAGCAGTGCCTCAGAAGGAACGGTGTTTTTAAACCAGGTCAGTGGACACGAAGCCTTCACAGTTGGGTCGCCACAGTACTTTCTCCTTACCTGTCCCTGTCACAGCCTCTCACCATCAAGCTGCTGCGTTGAGGTGATTGCTTGAAGATAGACAGCTTCCTTTGTAGTCTCCTTGTGCATCCTGGTGAACTATTTTAAGGAAATTTAACGAGAGCTGAGAGAAAATTTTATTTTATTTTTCAAGGCCACCTTTTGGATGTATTTCACCTATGAATAGTTTGTTAGTGCAAGAGGCTTGCAGTCCTACGAAAGACAGGATGTTGTCCATGTGTTGGTGGTGCTGTGTTCATTAATCTTATCACCCCAAGTAACATCCATCTATCTTTCTTTCTTTCTTTCTTTCTTTCTTTCTTTCTTTCTTTCTTTCTTTCTTTCTTTCTTTCTTTCTTTCCTTCCTTCCTTTCTTTCTTTCTTTCTTTCTTTCTTTCTTTCTTTCTTTCTTTCTTTCTTTCTTTCCTTCCTTCCTTCCTTCCTTCCTTCCTTCCTTCCTTCCTTCCTTCCTTCCTTCTTTGTGGTACCTGTGATTGAGCCCAAGTGCCACTTTCATTCTCTTCCCTAGGATTCATGGTTGGCAGAGACTATGAGGCCGAGGGAATTGCCAAAGATGGTGCCAAGATGGTGGCCGCTGTAGCCTGTGCCAGAGTGCCTAAGATAACCGTCATCATCGGGGGGTCCTATGGGGCTGGAAACTACGGCATGTGTGGCAGAGCTTACAGGTAGGTGGTTGTGGCAAAACACCTTGCTTAAGTGTGATTGTAAGTGGTCGGTTGGGTCGGTTGCAAGCTACAGAATGGCATTCCCAAATACTGATTGGTTACATCCTAATTTATGTCCTCTAGGGATAAAATTAAATCTGATGCTGAAGATAGTATTTGGAAAAGTCTACAGTGGGACCCAGGAAATAGCAGAAGTAGCCAGTAATGAGCACAGTACACACTGAGACTTAGGTGATGCAACTAAGATCTTGCAAGAAAGGTCTGTTGCCTCAAATGTGTATGCTGTACTGGAAAAGGAAGTCAGGCTGACAATCGATGAGCGAAACACCCAGTTCAGAAGAATAGCAGGTTAAACCCAAGAACAATAGAAAGGACATAAGAAGCAACAAACATAAGATAGAAGAATCAAGAAAGCCCGAAGTTGCTTGTTTGAAAGATTAATATTCTTGGTAACCCCTTTGTGGTACCAAACATAAAAAGAGATGGTGCATATAAGCCAATATCAGGAGTGGAAATAAGATGAGGCTGCAGATAACAGGGTGATGTTAGGAGCACTTTTAGGCCCAGGATGAACTATTGCAGAGCTTGGAAATCATGTTGCATATATAGGTAATAGAAATCGGTCTCTGCTGAGTTCTAGGCACCCCTGCTCTCTGGTTTTGTCTCCATCCGTCCCTCCCTCCCTCCCTCCCTTCCTGTCTCTCTCTCCCGCTCTCTCCCTCTCTCTGTCTTCCCTGTCATTCTCTCTCCCTCGCTCTCCCTATCTCTCTCCCTCCCTCCTTCCCTTCCTTTCTCTCTTTCTCTTTCTCACTGTATGCAGCCTCAGTGGCCTTGAACTTGAGTTAATTCTCCTGCCTCAGCCTCCTGAGTGCTAGGATTGCAGTGTGCCCCCACGCATAGCTGCAGCACTTTTTTTCTTCAGTATTGGGAATTGAACCCGAGGCATGTGCACTAGAGCTACATCAAGGCCATTTTTAATTTTGAGACAGGATCTTGCTACATTGCCTAGGCTGTGCTCAAACTTGTCATCCTCCTGTGTCAGCCTCCCAAGTGCCTGGATCACAGATGGGCATCATCATACCTGGCCTATACATGAGTTTTTTTAATTCTTCAGATGATACAATGTACAGTAGGAAATAAAAACCATTTGTTAAAAAAAGAGCTTCTGAAAAATCTCTGTACTGTGTTTTAAAAATATTATTAGTTATTTTTAATGTATTTGGCATAGAGTCTCACTACATAGCTCGACTCCTAGTGATCCTCCTGTTTTCAGCTTCCCCAGTGCTGGGATTACAGGCATGCGCCACTGTGCCCGGTCTTGGTGGCCGACTCAGCCTGCCCGGGGTGGGGCCAGTGTGACATGTGGTACCAGAGCCCATACCCTAGTCCTTGCTTGCCAAGCGCTTAGTCTGCTGAGTTGTCTCACTGGCCGGTCTGTACTTTGTTTTCAGTGAACTTGATTGTTCTTTTTTTTCTCCCAGCCCCAGATTTCTCTACATGTGGCCAAATGCTCGCATCTCAGTGATGGGAGGAGAGCAGGCAGCCAACGTGTTAGCCACCGTAGCCAAGGACCAGAGAGCTCGGGAGGGGAAAGAGGTGAGTGGGTTTGGCTTCTGCTGAGGACCACAGAGGAGTGCTGGAGCAGAGGACCCAGAGTCCTGTTGTGTCCAGGGGAGGGGTCACAGCAGTGGAGACCCTATATGACATGTGCCACAGCCAACTGTTTATTGTCGTTGAAAGCTCTAAAAGGGCTGCCATCCTTGTTAGGAGATGGTGACCTGGGAGCTGGGACATCGATTGAGGTATATGCATCTAGGTGGTCTGTTTTCTTGTTTAATTTTTGTGTGTGGTTCTGGGGATTGAACCCAGGGCATCACCTATGCTAGACAAGGGCTCTGCCACTGATCTACATCCCAGGCCTCTTTCTTTCTTTCTTTCTTTCTTTCTTTCTTTCTTTCTTTCTTTCTTTCTTTCTTTCTTTCTTTCTTTCTTTCTTTCTTTTTTGGTGGAACCGAAGATTGAACTCAGGCCCTTTGCGCTTGCCAGGGAAGGGCTTATTTCACTGAGCCATCTCCCCGGCACCCCTCTTTCTTTTTTAAAGCCATCTCTTTTGAGGTGCTTTTGTGGTTGCTTACAAATTCTTTAGAAACTGCCTGCATACCTAAGCCCTGAAAATAATTGGTTCTTAGTCATTTGCAGTTAGTGAGATTTAAATAAGTCCATTTTTCCCCCCTTTACTTTCTGACTGAGAGTAGCAGAATTCCGTTTTCTCCATTTTAGTTTTAATTGTGGTAACGGCAGCCTCGAGTGGGACGCTCAGGCCCGGTCTGAGCAGCGAGGAGCATCTGTGTCCAGGGAAAGCAGGGAGAAGCGGCGGCAGAGCCGTAGACACTAGCAGAGAGGCGGATGGGCAGGGCTGTTTTGGTGTCTGTCCAAGACAATCTCGAATTTCTGCATTTTCTCTCAAACTTTTTATTAGTTGAAACTTTGTAACTTTTGTGTAAGCCCCAAGCCTTAAGTGGTAGTCATGGGTTCCCGAAGTCATGCCTACATGAAGGCAGGGCATGGAGGAAGTGCGGCCCCCTTCAGGCGATGTTGTGCCAGTCATCTGGTCGACCACTTGGCTCGAGGAGCTGGATTAGCATCAAGCTGCGCCCGAGCCTCACCTCCTGGGGCACCTGTGCCAAGCAGCAGGAACTCCGCAGTCACATCCAGCTTTTAGATTCATTTTAGCACCAACTACCATCAAGGCGCGTGTGTGTGTGCGCGCGCGTGCGCGTGTGTGTGGTTGGTGGGGGGGGGTTGGTCAGGGAGGTGGGGAAAGTAAGATCTGACATTCTACCTGATAATATGAAGACATGTCTTAAACTCTGGCATGATAATCCCTTATTAAATAGTTGTTCCTTAATTCATTGATATACAGATACTCAAACATCTGTTTATGAAGGGAAAGCACAATGTGTTACTGGTTTTCCATATACATATTCTTGTTCTATAAAATTATATTAAAATGCTAACATATTTATATAAAATAAGGTAGGATTCATTTGAAATAAGTTATTGTTTCTGGTGTGGAAAGTTTTTATTTATTTTTAGCATTGTATATCCAGTTTACTTAACGTGTCATAACCCTAGCGGTTCCAAATGTGGAAAGTTTTTGTAAGTTGAAAATAGTTTTCTAGGTTTCAAAATAACTTCTGAAGATTTTCTTTTTTGTGTCTTTAACTCACTGTGCAGTTCAGCGAGCCTAAGCTCACTTCTTTGCTCAGGCTGGTCTCAAACTTGTACTGATCCTCTTGCTTCAGTCTCCTGAGTGCGGGGATCACAGTGTTTGCCACTACTTCTGGTAGTTCGGAAGATTTTTACATTTGAATTATCACTTGATCCTTACAATACTCATAAGAAGGTCATTAACTTTTTTTTTGGCGGCCAGAAGATGCCGTGAGGGCATTTCCGGTTTGGCGTGAGTATCTGGGTTCAAACCACAGCATCTTGAGCGTGAGTGCTTTGTTTAAGCAGGCACTTAAACAACTGAGCTAACGGGCAGGCCCCTGTCATTAACTTTTTTTTGAATGCCATTAACTTTTTTTTTTCTGTATTTAGTACAGGGTCTACAAGGTCTCACTATGTAGATGGGACCCATAGGGATTCTCCTGTTTTCAGCTTCCCAAGCGCTGGGATTACAGGTGTGCGACTACAGGTGTGCAACACCATACCCAGTCTCAACTGCCGCCTAGGCGCAATCTGCGGGATTTGAACCCCGCCCGCTGTGCTTTGCCTAAACAGGTGCTTTAGCCTGCTGAGCTATCAGGCCAGCCCTTCTATTAACTTTTTAACAAAATATCTTCATTATCTGGACAATGAAAGCTGGTTACTCAAGGGAAACTGGTTATTTAAGGTGGGGTTGACATTTTATTCCTCTAAGCTTTAAAATCTTTCAGGCTGTTTGGAATGAACATCTTATACTTTACCGTCTCAGCCAGAGGCTGCCAGGAGATGTTGCTCTTTGGTTATATTGTATAGCTCCCACCAGTTACACTGCGTGGAACGCGGGGTGTTGATCTTATGTTAAATGGCTGCAGGATGTCTCTTCTGATAAGAGAGGTACCGTGGTGCACTCATTTGACATTCTCGGTGTCTCGGTGAGAGCAGGGATGCTGAAGCACCACTTACATGCTGCATGTCACCACACAATAGTTGTAACGTTATTATCCGTGAAATCCGTTCTCTTGTGAGCAGTCTGCATTGTTCTGATGAAGCTGGCCAACTCATGGCCCCCTCTCTTGCAGTTCTCCAGTGCTGATGAAGCAGCTTTGAAAGAACCCATCATTAGGAGGTTCGAAGAGGAAGGAAACCCCTACTATTCCAGTGCAAGGTGCGAGCTGGGCCCTGACTCCCTGGCGGCAGCCAGCGCTGATACTCGGGGTGGTCGGCCTTCATAGGAACCAGATGTTACAGCTGGAACCCTTGATTTTGTACCTTTAAACTACTGCCTCTTTCCTGTGCCATGCGTGGATTGTGGATCTCTCAGCATCCGTCTGATTCTGCACCCTCATCCAGCTGTTAGTTGGGGTTTCCAGGGACAGGAAGAGCCCTGTAGCCAGAGGGGGACCATGCTGGGAGCTGGGACTGACAATCACAGTCCTGGCTGTGTCATTCTCAGGAAGTGGATGCTAATTTTTACTTAGAAATACAGACACCTCTCTTTTTACTTTGTTTTTACTGTGTTAGGCATGAGATTCGCTGGATATGGTGCTTGTTAACAAGTGTGTTTCAAACACTTAGGCGATTAATCACAGCCCGGGCCCACGGATGTCAGCGCCAAGTAATTAGCTCACACACCATCGCAGCTGTTGGCTGTTTGTTTTTTATGCCACTTAATGAGGTCATATGTTTCCCCTGCCTTGCCCCAGCTGGAGACCCGCTGGCGTATGCTTTCAACCACCTCAAGGTTCTGCATCCTGAGGACTAATCTAAGCTTCGCATCTTTTTCATCTGGGGGGCAGATGGGGAAAAATGGCTTTTTGTGTCTTGAAATTAGGTTATGCTGTGATTAATATTATTTACTAGCAAAGGCAAGTTGGAGAAAAAAGAGAAAAGAAAATCACAGGTTAGACTCCATTTAAATCGCTTGAGCACGTCAGCTGGGGCCAGCACCCCTCCTAGCACTGGTGTGCAAAGACTAAACATCTGGTTTACCAGGCTTTTGGGATTTTTAAAATAACTTTTGGGGGACTGTCTGTCCCCTCTCTACTGTGTACTCTATTTCCTACAGATTTACGGATGTATTTTGTTGTATTGGGTCATCGAATCACTTCGTTAAGAACAGTTTATTTCCTAGTCTTTGATTTTCATTTTTCCATCATGAAAACAGACTTCTGTTGCAGCCAGTGGAGGCAAGGAGGCAGCAGAGAGTGAGTGAGAATTGAAGGTGAAACAGGAAGTGAGGCCAAGGGCAGCTTTCCACACAAAGGGTTTTGCCTGAATTGCAGAGACCCTTGAAATGTTGAACTTTAAAAACTAGAAGATCTTGTGTGAACCATGAGCTTGTTTTCAGCACCAGTGACGATAAATGCTGTGTGGAGAGCAAGGTTGCCCCCTTTGTTTTTTTCTCCCAAGTATTGTTATTGTTTTCAGTCATGGCACGTAAGGGAGGAGAGGAGGTGACCCAGGTAGACCTAGCTTCTGAAATAAATATTCAGAGACAGAAAGGTTTCTCCAGTAATCTGAGAGACTGAACCCACCTGAGGAAATGGTACAGGGGGCAGCAGTTTTTTCAAGGGTTCACCCTTGTTTTTTTTTTTCTTTGTTTGCGGAACTGGGGATTGAACTCTGGCCCTTGTGCTTGCCAGGCAAGCACTTATTGTACTGAGCCATCTCCCCGGGGCCCATGCTTGGTTTATTAAGTCTTAGGTTAACAGTATGCCATGGCTCACCTGCGCTTTCACAGAGCTGGGGCGTTGAATCCTCCTTTTTGCTCTGGTGCTAGCTGGAAGCCAGGCCCTCATGCATGCTAGGTGATCCTCAAACCTCCAAGCCCAGCCTTGCCCAGCCCTGCCCAAGTCCCTCCAGTATTTTTCTTAATCCTTACATGTTTCTATAACTAGCCAGTTTTCTTTTGCTAATTGTTTTTGCAGCCAGCTTTACTGGGTAATTGAGCAGCACCTTTCACCTGGAACAGTCTTTAAGGGACATCATTAATGAGCCCGTCCATTATCGCGCTAGGAGGATTACACGCTGCAGACCTCAGAGGGGAGCACAGTCAGTTCCCCTGTGTGCAGATTGCAGGCTTTCTTTTCATTGGCCCTTGATACTTCAGGGTTCCTATGGTGAATGTTTCATAAGCAAAGATTTGATTTCTGTCTCTTGATGCAAGAATGTTTTAATACTAGAAGTGATGTCTAGGTACTAACGGCAATTTGTTTAAAGAAAGCAAAACTGCCACCTACTAGTAACCTTTATTTTTTGATATTTAGTACAGGGTCTGCAGGATCTCACTACACAGATTGAGCTCGTAGTGATCCTCCTGTTTTCAGCCTCTGAAGTGTTGGGATTACAGGCACTTGCGCCTCCATACCCAGCCTCAGTCACCATCTCAGTGTGCCCTGGGGACAGGGCCGACACGGCATGCTGGGGATTGAACCCAGTCCCTGTGCCTGCCTAAGCAGGTGCTTTAGTCCACTGAGCTATGTGGCCAGCTCTAGTAACCTTTAAATGTATTTCTCATTCAATTTTGTTTAATTTCTCTTTCATTTTTATTTATTAATGTGTGGTTTTCAGGGAAAAGCAAGCTAAGATCTCTACGTAAAGTTTGGCTTTGTCTGGTGTAGTGGTCTATACCTAATAATCCCAGCTAACTGGGAGGCTGAGGCAGGAGGATTCCAAATTCAGGGACAGCCTGGGGAACCTAGTGAGACCATATCTCAAAATAGGGTAAAAAAAGGACTGGGAATGTAGCAAAAATACCTACATTTGGAAGTACTTATTTTATTAGTAAAATATATTGAATAACATTGAGTAACTTTTATAGTTTTTTCAGTTATGAAAGATTTGGGGGAGTGAAGATATTGGCTTGCAATTATTTTTTTAACTTTTTTTTGATGGCTGGCTCAGCCCACCCTGGGGGCAGGGCTGGCGAGGCATGTGGTGCTGGGGCTTGAACTGCAGTCCCTGTGTTTGCTGTTAAGGGTTCTCAACATAGAAGCCAGACCTGAGTCCAAATTAAAATTTAAATATGAGCCTTTTATTACCGGGCCCGCGACCGCTTGACCATACTCACGCAGGAGTGGACAAACGGCCCGGAGCCTTAGAAGTATAGAGGTTTTAAAGGTAGAAACTGTATCCTGTTTGGCAAACAAATTTGTCATTTAACATAGAACAGTACCTTTAGGGACAGCGTGACCATTACTCAGCATTCATTTCTTCTGGGAGCATTGTTTTCTGGGAACTCTCAGTCTATTGATGACTTATCAGTGGTACACTGAGCCTTCTTGTGGTCTTACGAGGAAGCAGGGTCACAGAAAGTTGAGCAGAGTGATTTTTTTTTATGTTTAGTTTTACATTAACTCATCACATTACTTTTACATTAACTCTTTACACTTGCCTAAGCTTGCCTAAGCAGGTGTGGTGCCCGGGATTGAACTGCAGTCCCTGCGCTTGCCTAAGCAGGCGCTTTAGTCCGCTGAGCTATGTTGCCAGCCCTTGGCTTGTGATTATTAACTGGGCTTATGTTCTCTTTCCATATTAATGATAGAAGCACATTTTGATTAGTATATTTGTCTGGACAAAAGAAAGGACAGGAAAGTTTTTTGTGGAATGTGTAAAAATTTTTAAACCAGGGAGTATTTTATTCATTTATTTATTTATTTTTGGCAGAACCGGGGATTGAATTTAGGCCCTTGCACTTGCCAGGGAAGCACTTATTCTACTAAGGCATCTCTCCACCCTAAACCAGGGATTATTTTAGATTTCAGCCTTAAACTCAGTGTGACATTTTGTGGTTGCCAGGGAAAGGGAAAAGTCATCTTATTGCCCCACTCTTCTTCTTGTGCCTTAATAAGTTATATTGGAAATAATTTTTGACCTGTCCTCAAAGCCTTGCTTTTTCTTAATATGTGCAGAGGATTTGATGGAGCAGATTCACCAGATGTACCGGTTTAATTAGTTACTACATTATTAGCTAAGATTATTTCTAATGTTATGCTATCATAAAATTTATCATAAATGATGATAGTGTAATCAGGATTGTTTTCACATTTTTGAGAGTATTCATATGTAAGTATGTATGTATTTGTTTAGGTTTTTTGAGACAGGGTCTCACTTTATAGTTATAGGCTGGTCTTGCATCCCTATGTAACCCAGGCTGGCATGAAGAGAATTTTGTTTTGTTTTATTTTACTTTGGCTTGGCTTAGCTTGGCATGTTCTTTTCTTTTCTTTTCTTTTTTCTTTCTTTTTTTTTTTTTTTAGTGGAATCTCACCAGGTAGCCTGTGGTCTGGCCTTGAAATCACTTATGTAGCCCAGGCTGGCCTTGAACTCACAGTAATCCTCCTGCCACAGCCTCTGGACTGGTAGGACTACAGGTGTGCACCCCTACTTCCAGCAGGAATATTAGTTTTCATATGAATTCATGAAGTGGCCTTACTGTGTTAAAATTACATATTAATAATATATACCAGATTACTTCCCACAGAGGTTATATTCCTACCATGGCACAAAAAAGCCTCTTTCAAGCCAGGTGTGGTGGTGTAACTGTAATCCCAGCACTTGGGAGGCTGCGGCAGGAGGATTGGCTTGAGTTTGTGGGGCACCTGGGCTACCTTGTAAGCTGAAGACCAGCCTGAACTACCTAGAGAGACCTACTCTGAAAAATGAAAAACCAAATCAAAATAAAACAAAATGAAATGCGTCTTTCAGTTCCACTCATGACAGTAGTGACACATCTTTTTGATCTTTGCAAATCTAGCAGGTGAAAAATGATATGTTAGTATAGCTTAATTTTTTTTCTACTTTAAAAAAAATATGCATTTATTTATTTATTTGGTACAAGGTTTCTCTATACACTCAGACTCATAGTGATCCTTCTGTCTCAGCCTCCCAGTGCTAGGATTACAGGCATGCCTCACCACACCCATATTAATGACAGTGGATAGCATGGCACATTCGGGGTTCTGGGTACCTTACTGCATGCGGTACTGAGGTTCGAATGTGGGTCCTTGCACTCGCCAGGCAGGCGCTTAGAGCTCGAAGCTACCGCCCCAGCCCTCCTTCCGTCTCATGAACATGATTTCTGTTGTGAGATTCTGGGACAAGGTGGCCCAGAATTCTGAGGTCCACGTCGTACCTGAAGGAGGTTCTCCTTGGCGTTTCTGGGCATGGCGTGTGTTGGTGGTGCATTGGTGGTTACGTTCCTAATAACTTGCCTTCCTTCTTGGGCAGGCTGTGGGATGACGGCATTATTGATCCGGCCGACACCAGGCTGGTCCTGGGTCTCAGCATTAGCGCAGCCCTCAACGCACCGATCCAGAAGACTGACTTTGGTGTCTTCAGGATGTAACTGGAGTCAACCACACACCAAAACGTGTAATAGCCTTAAAGGTTAAAGTTTTTTTTTTTTTTTTTTAATGTGGCTGTTACAATAAGTTTTTCTAAACACAGTGCTTTGTACTTTTCTACCTTTAAAAAAAAATTAGTGAATATTTTTCTTTGACAAGCATCAATTCCTTTTAAATTTTCTTAGAAAAATTTCTCTATGGCTCAGCTTTACTATTGTTTTAATCCCACAAGAAGTATGAAATATCCTACAATCTGTAAATTTCTGCTATTATTGAGATCATTAATATAAGGTGGTCTCTCCAATGAAGTGATGCATAATTTTGCTGATGGTGCTTCATCATATTTTGACACACTTACTTTTAGCAATCATTCTTACTTTTCCCTTCTGCTGCTCTCCGCTTCCCTCCCTTGGCAGTGAGCTCCCGCTCTGTCTCCACCGCGCCCCCCATCCCCACCCCCAGTGCTTGTCCCAGGGCCTCCAAGATCGCTGTGCTGTGAAGCCAGCCCTGCCATCCCTGCCCTCACCGAGATCAGCGCTGTTTTGATTGTCCTTGGTGATCCTGAGCACGTTCTTACTCTAAAAGATATAGAGAACACACAAATATCTATTTTTAAAAATTGTGGTCAGATCCGTAGAGATTTATCTCAACCATTCATTTTTATCTTTTCTTATCAGTGTATGTTTGCAATAGAAATCCTCCCTGTTGCCACAATCTTTCTGTTTCCTGTCTGTCTTTTATGTTGCTGTTTAAATGTATTTATGCTTTGGGTTTCTTACATAAAGAAACCACGCAATATTTACACTTCTTTGTCTGATTTATTTCACTTAACATTGTGGTCACAAGCTGCATCCATTTTCCTAAAAACTACTCAAATTTATCCCTCTTGCACTGGAAGAGTACTCCATGTGACCACATTTAAGTTCAGTGTCATTACATACCTTCATGTCATTGTGTAGCCGTCGCGATTGTCCATTTCCGTTACTTCACACTGTGTCCGATGCCTGCCACCTGTAGGTGTGGTTTTTGTTGAATGAATAAATGGGTCAAATTGTTAACTGAAAATTGCCACTGCTGTCCTTAGGCCACAAAGTTTTAAAATTAGGTAATTGATTCTATGATTTCATGTGACTATCAGATGTTTTCCTAATAAAATTTGTATTTTAAACATTTGTGTGATAATTTGTACTGCATTTCTGTATCATTCACATTTATTTATTTTTTTCTGTATTTTAGGGAAGCGTCTACAGGGTGTTGAGGATCTCACTACTAGACTGGACTTGTAGTGATTCTCTTGTTTACAGCCTCCGAAGTGCTGGGATTACAGGCATGTGTTACCACACCCAGTCTCAATTGCAGTCTAAGCACGCGGCATGGCAGGGCCAGGGGTCTCACTTTATATTTGGAGGGGCAGATGAAAGATCATAATTCTGAGGCATTGAGTATTATCAGAAAATAAACATTCATTTTTTTTTAAACAAAGGTACAGGCCCACTTTTATGCATCTTTTTTTTTTTTTCTTTATGTATTTGGTACAGGGTCTCACTACGCAGGTTGGACTTGTGAGCCTCCTGTTTTCAGCCTCCCCAGCGCTGGGATTACAGTTGTGCGATACCACACTGGGACTTGGGCAGGGCCAGCACGACATTCGGGACTGGGGATAGAACCGTGGTCCTTGTGCTTGCTAAAGCAGGTGCTTAATCCACTGAGCTATCTTGCCAGGCCCTGTAGCTACTTTTCAATAGTTTAAATCTTAGAGTGGAACCACATCGAAAGGGCCCTGTGTCCAGGCCTTTGTAGGAAGTAGCTTGGGAATTTCCTCTGAACCCTTCCGCTGGCACATGTCCCCTGTCCCCAGATGACTCTGGCTTTGTCCAGTTTGCTGCCGAGAGTCACAGTGTCATGCTTTCCTGTGTGCACGAAAGCGCATCACCTGGTCAAGTAGACACCAGTCCCATCTGAGGCATAAACGCCTTGCTTTTGAAGTACCGCACACACCCTTCAGTCTTGAGGGCCGCTGGCAGGCCAGCACCAGCAGGCACCCTGCAGCCTCCACTCAGCTTTTTCTGACTTCTCCCCCCAGGAAGTGTCTCAAGCTCCAAGGTGGAAAAATCACATTAAATATCTGTAAATCATACCAATTTTTTGATTAAAATTTCCATCAATGTCAGAAAATACAATTATTTTATCAAGATGAGGCTCCTTTGGTAGGAACCATCAACAACTCAAGGATTCATGATATTTTAAGAATACTTTTGCCTTTTAAGAGTTACTTTAAAAGCGTTGCTACAACCATCACTAAAACCACATTTGAACTAGACTAGTTTTTAGTGATTTATCCAATAAAGTGAAACTGGGATGGGGAAGGAAAGGAGAAAAAAGAATAGACAGATACATAGAATTATACTAATTTATCTTCATTCATTGAAAAGGTTTGTACTAATACTTGGAGAATTAAATGCCTACGTATTTACCTCTGAGTAGGTAAAGATAACAATATACAATGTATTAACCATTGTTATTCCTATTACCTTCTTTGGAAATTTTGTTTTATTTATTTTTGTATTTTAGTAAGGGTCTACAGCGTGTTCAGGGTCTTACTACGTAGATTGGACTCGTAGTGATTCTCCTGTTTTCAGCCTCCCAAAGAGCTGGGATTATAGGTGTGTGCCACCATGCCCAGTCTCAATCGCCTTCTCAGCGTGCCCCGGGGATGGGGCTGGCAGGGCACGCTAGGGATCAAGCTCCGGCCGCTGTGTCTGCCTAAGCAGGAGCTTTAACCCGCTGAGCTATTTGGCTAGCCCTTGTTTTATTTTGAAAATTAAAAAAAACACTAAAAATAATTTTTAATCAAAATGAGTCTTTGGTTTGCATAGTCCTACAGTCACAGATTTTTAAAGAAATAGCCCCTATATTTGTACCTCACAGTATTGAAAGAAATAAATTTTCTTCAGTTTCAAGAGATGTTTTCAAAATAGAATTCATTTAAATAAGATGAACTAGACAATCATAGCTTAGTGACATAACGTTTCTCCACAGTGTCACAAATGAAGTACAGGAAATGCTTAATGAACTGTTCGAACTGTTTTGACAGAAGCCTTTCCACAGAACAGTTACTTTTCTGTGCTTAATATGCCTCAAATTCCCTTGGACCTGGAATCAGGTTAGAGCCATGTGGGCTGTCTTTGCATCTTTTACCTTCCTAAGCAAACATGCTTTCCAGATGACAGGGCTGTAGTGAAGTAGCCCTGCCATTTGTCATCCGTGCTGGGTTCTTTGAGAGTGACAGACTCGACAGCCATCTCCTTGTGAAACAGGGCGGGCGCTGGGCAGACCAGAGTGTGTAATGGATCTCTCTGGACTTTAGACTTAACAGAAGACTGAGCACATTGAATACCTGTCAGCTTTTGATAATTCTGGTAAACCCAGTACTCCAGATACCCTGCATAGAATCCAAACCAGAAAGCACAATCCTATACCCAAAGGTGCTCTTAAGATTTGCTTTATAAAAATTCTATATTTCATCTTACTCTGGGATCTGCATTTTCATTTAATATTTTGTGAATATATTGGTACATTTCTATGACATTAATATTTCTTCTATTATAATTTTTTTTTTCCAGAACCGGGGATTGAACTCAAGCCCTTGTGCTTGCCAGGGAAGCACTTATTCCACTGAGCCATCTCCCCATCCCCTTCTATTATAATTTTTTTCCTTCTATTATAATTTTGATGTTATGTGATATTATATAGATGCCATTTCATTTAACTTTATTACTGGACACTTTTTTTGGTGTTGAAAATCAGACTCAGAACCTTTTGCATACCGGACAGGTACTGTACCGCTGAGATATATCCCTGATCCACTAGGTTATTTTGGGTTTCTCACTATAGCATTATAGAAATCCTTCAATGAACATTTTTTTTCAGCTTTCTTATGTGTATAATTAGTAGGATAAATTCCTACAATTGGAGTGGCTGGGTCAAAGTGTGCATAGACTTTGAAGACATGTTGCTAAGCGTATTTTTAGGGCCCAGATATCGCTGGATATAATAATGATATTGGGTGTTTTTGGATCTTGAAATACTAGCTTCTCAGAGAATAAAATTATTTTGTATAAACCCATGTTGCCTTTAGTTGCTGAGAGTCGTGCTTGAGTGGCCTGCATGTTGTCAGGATTGGCATGAATGTGTGGGATGAGGTCACGGTCCTGGAAAGAACCTTGGCTGGGCGGAGATCAGTTCAGCCTTGGTTTTGCTATGGAAGAGTGGTGAGAGCCTCAGGAAGTGACCAAGACCCACCTCTTCGGCCAAGGGGCTGTCTTTTCTCCATCTCCCCAGGTTCCCTTTTCTGTCGTAATATGGTTTGGACCTAGAATGTCTCCCAAGTCACCCAGGTTCTGAAGGCTATTGGATCAGAGAAGCATATCTTTCATCCACTGAGTTCACAGCTGTTGGCATGCTGGGATGCAGGGACAGGTTGCAGAAGACAACTCGCTGAGGCTGTGACCTGGTGGGTAGCTTGTCCCGGCTCCCCCTCCCTCTCTCTGACTGCTTCCTGGCTGCTGTGGTGTGAGCAGCTCTCCTCTGTGCCCTTTGTGGCTTGGAGCCATGGGCTGGATCCTGTGGAAACTGAGCCATAATAAGCTCTCCTTGAAGTTGTGGGTGTTGAGTGTTCTGTCCCCATCACTGGGAGCAGATGAGCACCTTCTGCCAGGCAGTGGCCCTGGGCCGAGTGGGCTGTGGATGGGCAGTGGAAGGAAGATTGAGTAAGATGTGTTGATAACCTGGTCTCCACTCCATAGGTTCAGATGAACAGGTGTTTGGTGGGGGCTAATATGTGCCAGGCACACACAGAGATGGTCCCCATGCTTCTGTAGAGCTAGCAGTGCTGTGAGAGGGAGTTTCCTTGCTCAAGACTCCTCCACCATTCGGTGATTGCCCTGTGGTTCTATGGGAACTACCCCTTTCCTGTTACAGGCAGATGGGGTGAATGTCAGGCAAATCCCTGGCCCTTGGCCAAGAGCTGGGCACACTGAGGTCTGTTCAGTGGACTCCAGCTGACTTGTGCTGATGGACAAAGACTGACACTGAGGGATGAAGACTGGTCACTTGGAACCCAAG